TGGTTTGGAATTAGTATTATTCCACTTTATGTGAGTTTTGGCGCCCCCTAAAACAATACGTTGGTGCTAATAGGCATTTCAAACTATCGAGTCCTGTTCAGTTATAACATATGCTATGCAAAAGCTTTATTAGAAGTTTCTGTCTTCAAGATTGTCGTGTTCCCGAGCCTAACGAGGCCTTCATTTCTGAGATATTTGTGAATGGTTCGTAGCTATCGCTGACGAATTGGGATTCCTGATTTTGAAGGTTCTCTATTGTTTCTGCAAAAGTGTTTTGTGCCGGGTCTCAGTTAGCACAAGCACAGTCAAGTATTCATCTTAAATGTAGAAAGTAAAGAGTCTCATTTACATCTTTTGTGGAACAATAAATGTCTCGGCGAATAAAAATCAACACTCTGCTAGCCGGTGAGATAATTTCCAAACGCATGTTGGAGCTCAAAAAGTTTTAAAAATATTTGGTACTGATGAAAATATCCCCTCTGAGCCCTCGAAAAGATGAGAATGGTGTTGATGCTAAGTTGTTAAATAGAAAAAGAAAGTGCACGCTATGGAATGAATTAGGAAAAACGTGCTTGGTATAGATATATATTAGTGTAATACTCTCAATATCAATAAAGTCAATTTCATTAACTCATAGATAGGGCAAACCACTTTCTCGTGAGCGTGAAACCATGCTAATTACAAAACAATCTTATTTCCATTGGCGTAATCGAGGGAGAGGGATGGCGTGCTGGGAGGTTCAATAGCACCGTTAAAGACACCTAAATAACACATTAAGGTCGCCTAACCTTTTCTGCGAGAGTTTGGTTGTATAGCGCATTCTAGAAATATGAGCATGCGGACATGTTTTCGATGTTTGTGGCTTCCAATCAAATGAACAAAATAAATGACAATTAAGGTATGCTTCTTCAAAAAGAAGCGCTCAAGTAAGTATCAAGGGTACTGAGGGACTAGTGCGCTTTACTAAGGCTTTTATATATATATATATATATATATATATATATATATATATATATATATATATATATATATATATATATATATATATATATATATATATTGGTACTGCAATCCACAGGAGCAATTTCAGCAGGTGGGTACAAAAGACATAAACATCAGCATAATATAACACCAGGCAAACAGATGAAACAGCCTATCACATTTCACATAGTAGGCAGCCATGTAACACTAAGCAAACAAAATAACTATCACTTGCGTTTTACAACGTAAACAAACGTAACAAAATTTTGCCGATGACTCATCACTCTCATTTTAAGAAAAACAAAACAAAACTAGCACACAAGTAAAATTATTTTCTCTCTTTTTCCAGACTAGTGGCAAGTGACCTTGCATGGTTCGCTTCATGCTATTGTCTACAACCTTTTTGGCTAACATTGTAAAAATAAGATTCCGCGGCATTTCATTTTGTCATATAAAGGCATCGACATTGTAACGAAAGACAAAAACGTATGGGCATACCAATCTTTGCATGATACTAGACTAAACTATAGTGAACTAGAAGTATAAAGGTGTTATCAAGTCAAACGTGTATAGCTTAGATGACAGAATCATCCTTTTCAATAGATGTCAAACCGAGAAAAGCCGTGGAACTTTATATTTTGCTACGTGTGGGCAGCAGAAAGCCTTTTAAAGTTGCGGAGTGATCTTGATTCAGCTGCCAGAGGGCGGGATTCAATACTACTGCATCGAAATCACGGAAAATCTCGTCCTTTCTTCTTCAGCCGCGAGTCGTACATGGAATATAAGGATGCAAAGCAGTAGCGAAAAACGTCGCTTGTGCGTCTCCTTTAGACGAAAGGACAGTATTGACGCGGCGTCTGCAATCAGAGGGACAGCCATCGATTCTGCGGAGCTTTCCGCGGAAATCCTCGCGTGAAATATGCAAGAAGGGGGGGGGGGGAAGCCAAGTACAAGAGAGCCGCTGTCGAAAGAGAGGAGATAGACGACAACCACGAAGACGAAAAAAAAATCTTCCTGCATTACATGATGATACTTCTGTATCCACGTTATATCTTTTTATTCGTATTTTTCTTACGATTTGCTGCTCGGAAGAGTGAATTTTTTGCTTTTTTTTTTTCGGCTGCCAAGTCTTTCTGGTCGTTCAGAGCTGGGCACATCTCGGGTCATTCTGTACCCTTCGCTTCTCTTCTCGATATAACACACGAGGCTTAGGGTGCGAGATTCCCGGATCAGAGCTCGCGTATCGCTCTGTTCGTACATTTATTTCTCCTTTCCTCTCGGTGCGAGACTTATCAGAGAGAATGCATCCGAGCGAGGACACCGAGACACTTTCTTTTCTTTTCCCTTCTCCTTCTTCCAAGTAATTCGATGCCACACCCTTTTCTACATTAAGCTTTATTTGTGCGCGTTTATTCCTGGAGTGCCTCTCCTTCAGAAGCTCGTGCAGATATCGGCCCCAGGATTTCAGCGGCGAGCAGCCAGTCTACGAGGCTGCCTTCTCACCAAGGCACCAAAGCCTGCGCAGAAGGCTTCCTCGTGGCGCTGCGGGGTCTCACAGTCGGTCTCATGAGTCCAGATCACGAAAGAAGCGCGGACGTGGGGCGTTATTTCCCAGGAGGGCTTTGCAGGAAGCACGCAAGAGTGACCGCGTCAATGATTACGTACGTTTTTCTTCCTATCAGTTTGGTTTATTTCTCCCGTTCGACACCACACGGGTCACAGAAAGAATTGCTGGTCGTGAATCCGAATGTACATGTTGTAAGTGTAGGTGCAGTTTGCCTGTTGTATATAGAGAGCTTCGGAACGCCGCATCAAGAGTAGCACCTTGGGAGATCGCCACTGCTTTTCCCGATGGCGCAGCCTACTGTCCTCGCCCGCAGTTCGTGATTGGTGGCGCCAATACAATTCTTATTCCTTTCATTTCCATAATTATGCTGCGCATACAATAAAAAAAAAACGCTGGTGCCATGAAAGGACACCGATTGCTTCGTGTAACTTCTGTAATGCCAAAACACGTACAAGACTGCGATTGTGAAAGAAACGAGTCTGCACGCAACTTTATTATTAGTAGTTTACGTGCAACTATATGCGTAAATCAATGAAGGATAGTCGCTGAAAAGGCATGCTTGTAGTATTGTATCTCAGATAAACAGGCAATAATCGCTAAAAACGAAGTATAAGTATCGATTGGACAAATGTACTGGGCTTTACACTAGCATTCAATATCAAACTTTTGCGCAACATTAGATACTCGACAGCAACCTGTGATTAAAATCCAGCTTTTAATCGATGACAAGTATCGCATTCGTTTAGAAGTTGTAAACGAGAACATATTGGGCAAACTGTGCAATGTTGGAGTAAACGATCAAGAGATCACCGCTACTACATTTTTATCATTTTTGGGTCGTCTCGGATAGCCACTTCAGAGATCACCAGTACAGGCAGTTCTCACATTGTAGGCGAGAGATAGGTCACCACAGTAGAAAGCTTACTGGCACTTGAAGCACCAGTAGTTCAGATCGGAAGAGTATGGGAAGGCATTCCTTTTTTTTTTTACCCCTTATTACCGAACCTGTGACCTTGAAATGCCCAGTTCGCTTCCTGCCCACTGCAAGTTATCTTTTCATCCATCTTTTCTTTCTTCACAATGTACATTACAATTGGGTCTAATAACTTCCCCAGTACATTCCTTGTGCATATTGTCTGTTAAATCTCATTAATATTAGTGTCAAACACAAAAAACGAGCCCTTATATAAACGAGCACTTCTTTCTTAATTCATTAGCGAGCGTCTCGTACTAGCAGACTTGGCGTCTTCAGGTTGTATACGAAGAATTATTGGTTAGCTGCCAGCTCGTAATAAGTTCACGTGCTACGTGACGCCAAACAGGCTCATCAGGAGTGTTGAACACTTGCTGACACTGCTACGTTTAATTCACATATATCAATTAAGTGGATGGGTGGACAACCGCCATGTAATCTCAGTTGCTCAGTTGGTAGAGCATCGAACGTGTTATTCGAAGATCGCAGGTTCAGTTGCTGCCCACGGCAAGTTATCTTCTCATTCAATTTTCTTTCGTCACATAATATATTACAATTATGTCTAATAACTTCCCCTGTACATTGCTTGGCATTATTGTTCATGGGATCTCAGATCTCATAATTGTGTCAAACAGAAAAAAATGAGTTCTTAAATATACACTCCTCTATATATATATATATATATATATATATATAAAGATAGAGAGAGAGAGTTCCTGCTCTGTTCTGCACACACCTGTAGCAAGCACGTTGTCTATTTCGTTGCGTCATCTTTTTCTGTCCTTGTAGAGCTTCGCGCTGTACATGGAAGGATTTTCCAAGTGAGGGAGATTTTCGCAGCGTGCTCCTTATGAAAATCCTTTATCTTATCCATATAATAAAATAGCTGATACGACACAATTGTTCAACATTTGTGCCTTAGAAAAAAAAAAGCGTGTGGGCCCTGACTTTACTAAAATTATTTCGTAGGTGGCTAAATGAAACGAGCATTGACCTTACCGCACGAACGTATCAAACTAGATGCTATTCTTTTATTTTTGTGTTCCAGTGTCCACGAACGATGTATGGCAGATTTATGTACAATAGGCACGTTTTAGTTCAGTATGCACGTACAGAGAAGACAATGCGTCACTACTCAGTGTAGCGTAAACGAAGATACGTTTCTATGAGCCACCTGTATGCAGTGTTACCTGCGCCGTTCAAACGGCTGAAAAAAGTTCAAAGGAAATGAGCACGAACGGTAGCCACAGGCGTAGCCAGCATTTTTTATGTAGAATCAAACACAAAGAATAAAGGAAACGTTTTAACGACATGGCAGTGCTGTATTGAACAGAAAGAAAATGCGAGAAAGAGGCAACCGGAAGGAATAGTACAGCTTTAAGAAAAAAGAGCACCATTCTCTTTTTTTTTTCCTCCGTTTTTTTTTCTTCCTATCGCGGAGGATCAAAGCAATGCCTGTATAGTTCGTAAAGCACTCACGGTGGCAGGCCTTCGATGTCGAAGTAGGCGAATTCGATGAACACTTTCTCTCCCGGAAGCCCGTAGAAAAAGTAATGGCACTCCGTGTCCCTGGGGTAGATGCCGGGCCAGTTGGGAGACGCGAAGCTGCCGTTCGGTCGAGTCGCTGCTATTGTAGGCGAAGCCGCATGCTGCGAACACAAGTAGTAAGCAGGGACACGCTGCTAGCTCTCTTGCTTTCTATTTCTTTGCTTGTTGCCGATTTCCTTCTTCGCCGAAACGTACATCCCTTATTACCGGAGGGGACGCACTGGTAATCTCAGTAGAGCTGTGCATGCAAGCGATGCCTCTGTATATAAATCAGTTATGAATTAGCAGTCTGAGGTAGCGTTTTCCCTGTAACCGTTTCTTATAACATAGGAAAGTTGATCGCAACGATGTTTTTTTTTTTTACACAGCAACAATTACAAAACTTTCGTACGAATCACTGTGTAAGAACGAAGAAAAGGCGAATTGGACAGGCTCTACAACTAGCGGTGTACACGACTGAGCATCCACAAAGTGCTCTCCGCAATGAGTGGCATTTAGTGTTAACTCGCTGCCCGGAAACACTAGTAGAATTACTGCTAGAGATGCTGCGCGCACTTTGTAAAGGCTAGAATATAGGTAACTTTAGATGTGTTAGCATAATACGCTAACATTACTGCAACTCCTCTGTCTTACCTGCATTTTCTCACCTATGTTCGGATAACAGAACAATGTAACTAGAACGACGACAAGAAGAATGAAGCAGCACCAATTGGAGAGCGACAAGCGAACAAACGTATTGAGAAAAAGCGACGCTTATCTCGTTTTTTTTTAGATCATTCTAGCACAATTCGTACGATGAGCATCAAAACCAACGAGAGCAAGCAGCGAATGCACACCACTTGGCCTTGCGAAGTAACTCACCGAAGGACGTGTCTTGCTTCCCTGAAGCTATGCCGAAATCTGAAAACAGTAATAGCGGGTAAGTGGTAGGTGAAAATGGCTGGTTAAAAACAGTGTGTGCCTAGTTTGGTAGCAGCTCGATGTGCTCAAAAAACAAAACGAAAATTCACTAGCTCATTCCTTTTGGCACACTTACAAACAACATATGCATTATCATAACGTCAGGAGTGACAACCACGGCTTCATAACCACATCTTGATGTCCCTGATAAGCATAAAATGGAAACATGCAGCACACCTTAAAGTGTGCGTCAGTTTTAAGAGACCGGTCTTAACAAGAGGAGTTCCAGTCAGCAGTCTCCGATGAACTCCATATAATCTAAAAGTACCATGTGAACTCAAATCTAATATAAAGCATTTCTACGGATCAAATAAAGATCGCCTTACTATTTATATAAATGATTTATGACCTGAAAAGCACAAAATGACTATTGTACAGCAAGTATAAAGCAAAAAAAGAAAGAAAAAAAGCTGTGAGAATGAAGATGCCGGATAAAAAAAAAAAACTGTCGCTTAGCTATAAGCTTGGTCTATTTATGCAAGCGAAAGTCTGTTTACTTAATATGCTTGTTTGCCTTCGTATCGGAAGTGCATTTTACCAACCGAGTGATATGGCTAGTCTAGTATTTTGTATTGCGTCGTTTCATCAGTTAATGGAGCCGCGGCCGTATTCGACCTAAGGAACACCAAACTTTTAAACCTCCAACAAACACTCGTGCGCTCCTCTACAAGCATTGCCCACATTTCTTGCAGCTTTAATTATGGCGCCAAGAAAAGGCTTCGGAAGAGTTAGATAGACAGGTTGATGTTTAGCTGTAGGACAAACGTAATCGTCGTGCACGACTGCAACAATACAACTATTCCTCGCACGGCTTATCACGGGTGTGTTATCGCCCCTTGTGAAGTCATTTGCTCCTCGTGACACACACGTGTTTTCCGTATATAGGCGTAACAGCCATCGCGCGCAAGGTGCTTTACTGCTTTACTTTTGCCACTTTTGCACGTCATCTGATGGCGCCGTGTTGCTGCCCCATTAGTGAAATCATAACCGCGAGTGCGTTGATAACGAGTGTGCTCGAATGCGTCCGTATGTACGTAAAAGGTACATTTGTTTTCAGCGGTTGGTGAAAACGTCAAATGCCCATTAATTGAGTGCCATAAAGTGTGATGATGATGATTGATGATGATATGTGGGGTTTAACGTCCCAAAACCACCATATAATTATGAGAGACGCCGTAGTGGAGGGCTCCGGAAATTTGGACCACCTGGGGTTCTTTAACGTGCACCCAAATCTGAGCACACGGGCCAACAACGTTTACGCCTCCATCGAAAATGCAGCCGCCGCAGCCGGGATTTGAACCCGCGACCTGCGGGTCAGCAGCCGAGTACCTTAGCCACTAGACCACCGGGGCGGGGCAAATAAAGTGTGTATATAGTAGCGACAAATAGCTACAATTTAACAACCTTGCTGACTTTGTTCAACTTTCGACCCCGCTACACGAATGGTAGTGGAACAGGAACAACATTTCAAACATTCAGTAAATGAGCACCCCTTGCGACGAAAAAAATCGGACAAGCGTAATCGTCTAACGCACGTCTTGTAGTCCATCTACGACACCACACATCAGCGAGACTATGCGAGTCATGAGGTTTGGGACATTTTTGGCTTAACGAAGGATCTTATAAACATTGCCATGCGTTGAAGATCACTCATGTACTTTCATTTCGCGGAGCATGATCTTGGACTCGCAGTGTGACTTCGTAACCAGCACCAGACCCAAGACAGGGCAGCTCGCACGCTCCTTTAGTGGAGGGCACATCCTACACCTATAGTAAGCGCCAAAGGGCAGGCTTCACTATGGGCTAGCTGCCAAATGTATTTTGTTTTCTTAGAACGGAATACTGAACTAGTTAGTATGGATTCCCATGCTTAGGACTTTGCAGCGCTCACAAACACGACAATGGATGGAAAAAGTGCATGCGACATGCGCCATCATCGACACATCTTCTGTCTCTTGTCCTTTTTTGTGAACAATACGCAGTCCTACACTTAATTTCTTTTTACATCAAAAGCTGTTATGAGATCCCAAGAGCAACCAATTTTGTTGGTGTACTTATCAACCGCCACCGGTGTCCGTAAGCGCTATCGCACACAGCGGGAAAAGACATATCCAGGGTTTGAGCGGGAATCGAACCCAAGTGTTCTTCTGTGAGGTAGTCGAGCGTTCTGCCACAGAACCAAGACGGTGCTTCAGACTCATTTCCAAAAATACCCCATGGAGGCGTCGTGTCTGTTAAGGAATCACATTAACAGACGCGAAATGACGTGGTAGAAAAAAGAGATTGCAACATGTGTCACACATTGCGAATCACTTGACTAGTTTGTTGTTTAAAGCCTCCGACACGTTTAAAATGGCTCTGTAATATTTATTTATTTATTTATTTATTTATTTAACAATACTGTCAATCACGTCAGGGATTTTTACAGGAGTGGGTTGGAAAGTGTCAACAGACATGCTATATTCACATACTTATATAATTGTATGGGTACAAAAAATCATGGTATAAAATGATAACAATTATGGACCTACATTATTAACGAGGCACATGTCTCAGTCACATGTGCACGCACTGAAAAAACACGAACAAGAAAGAAAAACGTAAGCACGCAACATACAAAGTTGGTACCGACTTCCACCTTTTTAAACCACAAATGTACTGGCAGGGAGGACAATAATCCTGATAGCGTCACTATCATGTAGCTGATTCATAGTCGTCATAGTAGCTGAATTCATAGTCGTCAGCCACAACATCGACAAAGTGCACACAATACCCGATACACGCGCAGTGGGTACGAATCTGCTCTTCATATTGATAAATAGCACCGTGGATACTTCTCTACTTCGCAAACTTTTAATGATTTAATTGTACATTGCCACTGTATTTGCAGCAATCGCCCCAAGAGAATTTACGACGGAATCAAGAAATGCTGTTCCACCCGATTTCGGTATGACAGTGCTGCGTGTACCGCACAGGCTAAGCGTATTTGGAATTATTCGTGAAACAGGGCATTGTTTATGCCAGTTCAGAACTCTGATTTAAAGATACGTTGCCACTGTGTTTGCAGTAATTGCTCCAAGAGAATTTACAACGGAATCTAGAAAGGCAGCTCCACCCGATCGTGGTATAGCTGTACTGCGCGTTCCGTGCACGCTAAGCATTTTCAAATGTTTGACGAAACAGGGCATTGCGTAGGCCAATTAACAACGCTACCCAGTAATTCTCAAATGACAGCTATCGCTTAATGAAAAGTCAAGCGTACATACCCGTCACGAACTGGTAGGCTGCCCGGAATCCTCTGGCAGTCGAGTTCCCCGGGCTCTGTAAGGAGCGGAACTCGAGCGTCAGGTTGCGGCCTGTCGACATCACCTGGTTGGGCATGTCACTGCCGCAGAAACTGTCCACCCTGTCTCGTTGTCCGTTGACCGAGACGAACACAGTGACGGCATCCGCCGCTTCGCACCTGCGTCGATGATACAAAAATTGTGCCCAGCGTCATCAGAAGCCAAGCAGTAAGCATCGAACACCGAGACTCATGTTCAAAACGATAAGCTTAAGGGAACTAGCGTTGAGCACATACTTTGCGAGATAAACATGGAGAAGGTTGGAAAGAAAATGTACGGGGATAAGATAAACAACTGGACAGCATGCTTGTTGGCATCATAACCCTTATTACGTTACCTAGATCACATAAAACGCATGTAAAAAACAATAAAAGCGAAACACTACCTGGAGCACGAATAAAACCACATAATACACGATGTACGTACAGATTAATGCGCGTTGACATGCTTACAACGCACGAAAGAGCTTTGGTTTATACACACTTTGTGGGCCACACGTGGTGGCTATACCCAGATAGTGCCAATTGCTGCGCAGTGGTGGCGCGAGGGGCCGCCCACCTTCGCGGTTTAAACGGAGCAGCCTACGCACCGTCTATTTCTTTCCTGCCCCGAAGGATGGACGTGGCCAGTCGCTCTGACCGATTGACTCTTCCCCGTATTCTCGACTACGCTGCCTACACCATGCCTCTGCCGCATTGCGATAACCTCTCAGTACGAGCCATCCGGTAAAAATATTTCGGTTGTTTTTCTTTGAGGTCTCCATCATCCTTACTATCTGGCTGTAGACGGGGCGCAGCAAACCCAATACGTACATACCCGAAGCTAGTGCTCATAAAAATTGTACATTTTTCTGAGCTTCTGATGGAGCACAGCCTAATGGGCAAGTGCTTTCGGTCGATGGAATCGCTGACTGAGGCGATCCGTATTCTTACTCATTTTTTTCCAGAATTCGAACTCATGACCAATGGCGAACTCGTGAACATGTGCTGCAAGATGCTTTTGAATTTGTCGAGAATTTGTTCTCGCACTGCCCTCCTGCTGCACTGTTACAGTGCACTTCAGGGCAGTGCACTGCTGCACTGCCCTGAAGCACGCACTTCCCTTCAAGTTTACATGCTTTTTTATGGGCGTTAATCACTGGAACAAAGTACCATCTCTTATTGAAACACCCCACTCAACGTTATTATATATAAATTCAAGCAATTACTTTTGTAACCATAGTGATGGTCATGCATTATTGCCATGAGTATGGAATAATTGTATCCTCTAATTTATCTTCCACTTTTAAACATTTTTGTAGAGGCTCGTGTAGTTAGATAAGGGTGCACTTTAGTGAACCCCAGATGAACGAAATTTCCAGAGCCGTCCATTACTGCTCTCTCACAAACATATCCTATAGTTTTGAGACATTAAACCCCGAAAATTATTAAATAAACGTCTATTTTTTTATTCTAACGACACATTTTTCATTTTATATACTTTTCTTTTTGGAATTCATTTTTGTTTTTATTGCACAGCGTACATTTTACAAGATAGGAGTTCATCGTTATTGCGTGTATTTTACGAAGTTTTTGTTTTTGATCGCGTGCTCTATTAATTCTCTACGTTGACACACATCTACTGCGTAGACAACACACAAATGTTTGGCACTAAGAGAAAATGTGCTCGACTGATGTTCCGCCGGTCGCCGAATCGAATCCCGGCCGCGACAGCCGCATTTTGAAGCAAGCTACATGCCAGAGGCTCGTGTACTGTACGATGTGGGTGAACGTAAGTAACACCAGGAGGTCTAAATTTCCGGAGCCCTCCACTCTCACGTCCCTCATAATTACACCACAATTTTTGGATGTGAAACCATAACGCTTATATATTATTATTACACTATAGTTACATACAGAGATAAAAATAGATGTGGTATTCCAGGGAGACTACCGTGGTAGAATAACCAGTTTGCTGCCTTGTACAGAACTGGAGAAGTAGAGATCAAAATGAGGATAGGGAGAGAAAGTCAGAATAAATAATCAAAGTTACATAGCTTTCATTACGCATAGAATGTCGCTTGAATAATTTCGTCACTCCGCGATTTCTTCCTGCACAAGGGATGGAGCGGTTTAGGAGCTAACATGTTGCGCACACTTTTGAGTGAAGCACCGTTCATCCAAAAGAGCTGGAATGCGTTCGCCAAATACGCTGCGGCGTTCATGTCATGACGTGACCACGAGTGCATGTCTCAGAAGAGAAACGCTGAAGTAGCGACCAAGCCCATATGGAAGTTCACGACGATCCTGTGGTCGAATTTTTCTCATTTTCGCTGAATATTTCGAGTCGTATCTTCGGTAGTCGCTGGATGCTTGTACAAGAGTGACGAAAAATAAAGAATCTAGATGCGAGGGTATCAAAAGCCAAGCGGTATGAATTCGGAGCCAGGGATACAATTTTGATCACTTCAGAATACATGTTCATAACATGGAAATGAGTGGCGAGCGTAAAGGTCACCCACCGTGAAAGCTACATGACACACAAGAACTTTCACATTCAAGCCGAACTGTCTTCATAGAATAAGGTCACAAAGCAAGAAGATGGATGGAAAGAGCTTCCCTACTATTCCTGCCAGAAGTATATTACGATAAAATACATGCAGATGGAACAACGAAACAAACACAGGATTGACAAAGCGGAAATAAAGAAGGACGAGTGCTATGAAAACCACCCAAAGGGCGCCAAGTAGGAATGACTGATAACAACAGACGCTGCAGAACCCAAAGACGGCAAGAAGGGCTAAATGAAAAATGAACCGGCCGAAGCAAGCATAAACCGAAACTAGATACGACAGCCTTAGCTATGTAGGACCCGAAGGACGAACACTAAAGATTGTGCAACCCTCCGCTTCTTTATTCACCCTCACACTCTTCGAGCGCTCTTGTTTCACTATTTCCAAGACAAAGTGGCTGCGTCTTGCTCAACAAAGAGACGAATAACATACAGCGAGAAATGATGCCAGCGACGTGTAATATAAAAGCCACTGTGGTGCTGGTGGTTCTTATTTTTCATCACAACACAGCCATGGACGTGGTCTGCCAGTATACGGCATTCTTTTTCGCTCTCCCCGCCCCCTCCTTGCTTTATGTTTTCCCCACGTCTTTTAGGGAAGAAGAGAGGGTGGAATAAAGAACGCTGTTGGGTTGCGAGCCAGTTTTTGGCTGTTGGTTACTTGTCACACTCCCTCGTCGCCAATGCAAAAAACAACAAGCATGCCGCGCGGGTCGCTTTCAGAAAAGAGGCGACACTCCGAGATTCGCGGGAAAGAGTGAGCAACACGTCAACGCAGCCTGTCGGAAGAGGCCCACAATTCAGGGCTGGAAGAGGGCGAGAAAAGAGCGGCCAAAGATAGCAGAGGCCTGGGCGGTGATGAAGGAGGCCCTGCTCTTCTACTTTATGTTCCCCCGTAGTCTCCTTTATTTTCGATATTCTTTTTCCCAGCGCGCACCGATACAAAATATGGTCCACTTCCTGTGGCGTCACAGCGTTTTCGTGCGTATCAACGACGGCCGGACCCGCTCCCTCGCCGGCCAGACTCGGCTAGCGACTCGAGGCCTGTATTGGCTCCCGACACGTCTTGTCTAACGCCACCTACGGCACCCTCGTTCCGCCTCGGGGTGCAATAAAATGATAAGGAAGAACGAGGGGAACAATAAGAAACGCGCTTCGGCGAGACACGTCGAACGAGCGCCTAGCACCATCCGCTACGTTCCGGAGCCAAAAAGAAAAAGAAAGAGCAAGCAAGGATTTAAAAGCCACCTTCGAAGGTCTAGGAATGGGCAGAATAAAGGTGTCGTGTGCTGCAAAGAATGTCCGAAACTCGGCGGCAAGGAGGCAAGCGAAAGAGCGGTCCCCGAACACGTGACTTGAAGGGAGTGTACATCAGCGGCGAAGATCTTTGGGTGAACGTGATAAATGGGTTTCGTTTTCCGTGTAAACTGCTCCTCTTTTTTTCTGACACTCTTTTGCGTTCTTCTTGTTGGTGTGGTCTGACATGAACCCTCCTGTAGTCTGCTTGAGTTTTTCTCGTTCTTTGTTTTGAATGGCAGCATCCGTTCAGGCTGCTCCTGCTAAAACAAAAACAAAGAAACGTGCATGCTATGTTTTTTTTTTCTTTTTCGACTTCCTCATCTTGAAAAGGGCACTAGGCTTCATTGTCTCACCTTGTAGCCTTCCCGGCATCATTGAGACTTCAAAGCAGCATTCTTTGTTTCGTTTTTTTTTACGACCCACATACTTTGTTTTCATATGCATGCTTTGGGAGCCCCTTTAGCTGTCACGTGTTGTATTGCTGCTCGAGTGAATACTGTCGTGGCTGCTGTCTGGGAGACATACACCGCTGTGGTTTTTTAATACAAATTCAACTGTGTCTGGGGCCCCATAAAGCGCATACGTGGCTGGCATGCTTGCACAGATGAACGGACGGACGCAAGGATGGGCGGAAGCAAGAACGAACGGATGAACAGAAGCGCGGACGGACTGACAGACGCTTCACCCCACTCATTATCATTCACAAGATAAATATGCTGTGATTTTTATTATTTATCATACTACAAGTAACGTCCTCTAGTATCGTACCATTTGCATTTTTCGGCGTATATGCATTTCATTATGTGTAAAAGTACCACCCTCAACGGCCGGTTCAAGAACTAACGAGAGTTGGCTACATACGATTACGACGGGATGCTCAGCCCTCGCCAAGGAGCTTCGCCTCTAAAGAGTAGTTTTCGCGCGAGTAGCTGATAAGCATGGCAATTGCATGGTAACGGACACTATGCTTTGTTTGGCCGGTCAGGTTGGGTCGCGTCGGCACTGCACTGCGACGTTCCACCCAGCCTCTTGTGCACCGGTGATTCTTGTTTACTGAAGACAGGGAACTTACACGCGTCGTTTGCTGCGCGACGACGTCGTCTAGGCAACTGGCGGCCACCGCTTTCTTGACCGGTGCCCCGAGGCCGCGCCTCGATGGAGATGCATGCCCCACTGGTTCTAGCGTGTGTTTGTGCACACGTTCCTTCCGTGTACACAGAAGGGAGACGAATAGCTTGAGCCAGGATGACTTGAGAGATTGATACACCGG